TTAATTTATTTGATTAAAATTAATAAATAATAATTGTTTGCAAAATAACAAAACAAACACCTCTTGGATAGTCTCAGTGTTATAGTACGCTAATTTAGTGCCTCTCGAAGAGAAAGCATCAGTTCTAATTCTCTTCAAGTAGCATAATATCTAAACACCTTTGTATTTGAGCATTGAAGGAAACCAAAATTATTTTGGTGATCCATTTAGGAGCATGATTCTTTGCTTCCACAAGAAAACACCCAAAATAGGTGTTTCCCTTTCCGGGCATTGATTCCAAAATGAAAAAGTGTTAGTGAGAACACTGAAAATCAAGCCACAGGTTAGGGAGAAGAATGCTATTTACTCTTATTTAAACATATTTTGTAGCTTTAATTTTATTCAACTCAAAGGAAGGTACAAGGAATTAAACAGATTTACAAATTCAGTGGCAAAAAATGGTAAGAGAATATATGCTACAGGACAACGAGGCATGAAATTTCAGCTAAACTTGACAAAGTGATCAGAAGGTTGAAGCTTCTAACAATCTGCGTCTCAGTCGAGCTGAGGGCTAGTGCATAGGAGGAAGAATGGCAAGCAGCAGCAGCAACTAAGTGAACTGCAGAGTTACCAATGACCATGGATGCCTATCTTTGGCTTCATTCTGAAGATATCTGAATGTTAAAGATTCAAATGGCTGAAACTCTTGATCTGTTAAGTTCTGAATCTAGTAGAGAATCCAATGTAGTCAAATAAAATACATAACGGGCTATTGGTAACTTGATTGAGGAGAAATATGAACAAGCCAGTCAGTTGGTCAAATATTCCACCAAGATTGACCCAGGTATTTTCTTCAAGAAGCAAGGAAAATGACAGGAATCTTCAGAATTCATGACTCTAGTTTCTCTCTTATGCGGACAGCAAGTCTTTGTATCGACTGGTCATCAAAAAAGCTATCCATCTCCTTGATCTTTGAAAGAAAGTCCATGGCTTCTTTGTATTTTCTTGCTTTACAATAACTATCCACCACAATCTTGTACGTAAGATCATTTGGTCTGCAGTTGTGCTGAATCATGTAGTTGATCACTTCATCTATTTCTTTGAACATCCCCTGTGCTGCATAGCCTGCCAGAAAAGTATTGTAAGTAAAAATACATGGTCGGATCCCTCTGGTTGTCATTTCAGATAGAATTCTTAGGTCCTCCTGCATATGCCTTTGCCTGCAAAATCCTTTAATGACAGTATTGTAAGACACAAGGTCTGGATTTCCACCAGATGTCTGTAGCCCTTTGAGAATTTCCTCAGCTTTCCAACATTCTCCCACTCTGGCATACATGTCCATCAAGCTGTTGTAGGTGACCAGATCAGGTTGCAGCCCACTGAAGCGAATCAAGTTAAATGTTTCATGGGCCTTCTCATACATGCTGTTTTTGGCAAAAATGAAAAGCATTGAATTGAACAAAACCAAATCAGGTTTATAAACCCTCCTAGGCAATTCCTGAAATGCCCTCTCCATACCCACCAGTGCTCCACATTTGAAGTTTGCACGAACAAGGGTTCTTAAAAGTACCTAGCTCAAAAAGATACAACCACCATATATTTCTTTCTCAATCTTCTCTATCCCTTTTACATTTCCTCCTTTTGCATAACACTGAAGCATCAAAGAGTGTGAGGTTTCATTAGGTCTGAAGCCTTTAATTTTCATGTCTAGAATAACAGATTCTACTACTTTCCAGTCACCACATCTAGCCAAAGCATTTAGAAGCGCATTGTAAGTTGTAGCACATGGCACAAAACCTACTTCAATCATCTCCTCATACATTCTTGTAGCATTAATCTCTGACCCACAGCGACCATAAGCACCAATCAAAGTATTAAATGTGTCTCTACCAGGCTCAAAACCGCAACTCTTCATTTCCTGAAAGACTCGGTTAACATATTGGTGCATTCCCATGTTACCACACATGGAAAGCAATGTGTTCCATGTAATGCGGTTAGGGGAACATCCACTTGATTTCATATCACAAAGTATCTTCATCATCTCCTCTGATCGTGACTTTTTCCCTAACATCCCAAGCACAGCATTGTAAGTGCACACATTAGGGACACATCCTGACTCTTTCATCTTGTCAAACAATTTCAAAGCCCGATCCTCCTCTCCTGCTTTCCCATAGGCATTGATCACAGTTGTATACATAACAGCATTCGGCATCACTCCTTTGTGCATCATTGTCCCAATCAGGGCTGCTCCTTCCTTGTAAAACCCAGCTTTCACATAGGCGGCCACAAGCTCATTATATGTTACAGAGTCGATAGGACAGTTATTATCCTCCATCTCTTTCAAAATGCTCAAGGCCTCTGAATAAATCCCTGCCTTACCAAAAACTTAGAGCATTGCATTATAGGTAACCGTCCCAGGTACATAGCCTTGGGACTTCAATTTTGCAAAGAATTCCTTTGCTTCATTTAGCAGACCCTCTCTCCCACAAGTAAATATCATAGTACTGCAAGTAAATTCATCAAATTTGAGTCCATTGCTCTTCATTTCATCCAGTAGGCCTAAAATTTTATCCCAAGAGCGACCCATCTTCCCATAAACATTAAGCATGACCTTATAAGTGACTAAAGTAGCAGACAGCCCTGTCTCATTCATTCTCTCAAACACAGAGATTGCTCTTTTGTACTTGCCAGTACGAGAATACACATGAAGAATAGTCGTATATGCTCGAACATCAAGAGAATAATCCTCAAGCGGAATTACATCGAGCAGCTTGGATGCAATCGAATGCTGTGATTCTCTCCCAAGAATTCTAACCATTAGCTCAACAACCTGATTGTCTATTTTGACATTAGAAGACTTTAAATTCAACACTACCCATTCAAAGAATAAAAGGGCTCTTTCCCAATTGCCCGAATGAGCTAATGCTTTCAATAAACTAAATATATCAGCTTCAAGCAGCATAAACTTGTTAGAATCAAAGAAATCATTCAAGCTATGCAATGGCTGTTCCACGATTGAATCTAGCATAAACTTACCTTTTCTCCACAAAAATTCAAACGACCCATCTCCCAACTGACCGTCCTCCTTACTGCCGTTCAACTGCAAGACTGAAACCGAACTGGGTTTCCTGGGATGTGCTTGTCGATTAAGATTTTGACTAGAATCAACAGAAATATGCCGAGAAGTCATCTGGGTATTATTGCTCTGAGGTTTGGACCAGCGGGGAGCGTTTGGTGTGGCAGAGAGGTTGAGGAGGTGTTGTAGGAGAGAATCCAGGGGAAATGAGGGTGGAGTTTGGGATTGAGGAGGCAGTGGAAGTATGGTGGGGCTGAATTTCAGAGTTGGGTTTGGGCGTGCTGGTCTGTTCATGGCAGCGGGATGGAGTGGGCAATTGGGGAGGATACTTCCCTCCATTTCCGAGGAAAAAGGATGGGTTTTTTGGGGTTTGGGTTGGGATTCAGATATGGATGTTTTCAGGGGAAGATTGGATTGGCATGGCACATGGCACTGACAGTGTGAGGATATGGAATCTACGATGACTGGTGTTGATTGAAGATGGAATTAAGCAGAAGGATTGGGCGCTTTGTTTGGAAGGCTGTTTTTGTTTTGGATCATCTAGTCGTTCTATGTTTCTCATCTCAAATGGTAGACGCAAAAAGCAAAAGGTCTCAATTTTCTTTCTTTCTTTTTTCTTTTTTATAAAAAAATATTTATTTTTAAGTGATTTTTAATAATAATAATTAAAGCATAAAAATATTTTTTTATGATAGATTATATAATAAAAGTATAATTTA